CGTAGTTTTGGGACTATATGGGTACGTTGAACCCTAGTCCAACTCGGTATTATGCTACTCCCAATTAATTAAGTGGTTAACTGGTTATGACTGAATTTCTGTAAAATACTGGATAGCTCAAAACTGAACATGCAAACTGAGAATGCAATAATAAATCTGATAAAGATACATTAATAACCGAGGCATGTATAACTGAATAACTGAGATATCCTTAAAAGCATGAACTCCTAATTTTAATGTTAAATTACTATAATATCCCTAACTTAGGTTGTGACTTTTTCGATGAATTGTGACTTTTCCGATAAGTTGTGACTTATTCCAAAGGGTTGTGATTTTTCGATGAGTTGTGAATTTTTCAATAAGTTGTGATTTTTTCCAAAGGGTTATGATTTTTCGATGAGTTGTGACTTTCCAAATAGTTGTGACTTTTTCAATAAGTTGTGACTTTTCCAAAGGGTTGTTACTTCTCGAAAAGGTCATGACTTTTTAGATAAGACACAAAAAGCACTTCTTCATACCACCATTTGTTGACTATAAATAGAGGGGCTTCCTCTCATTTTCCGACCACAATTTTTTTTAATCTTCTACTCTTCTTCTTCTTGCATTTTAATGTTTTTGTGTTTTATTAACGTTGAGTGAATTCGAAGCTTAGCGGAATATGATGTACCACTATTCAGATGAAGTAAATTGTTCTATCCTAAGAGGTTATATTTCATAACCTCGAGTACTTGAGGAAAATAATTTTAATAATTTAATAATTATTATTTTTCTTAATATATACAACAGTATGTAATGTTCCAACATATAAAGTTAACATGATGTAGTCTAAATTCATTTATTTTTATTAACAGTTTTTCTTGTGATGTAGATATATGCTTCTGAATATCTTTTTTCTAAAATTTAGATAATTTTCACGATTTATTTTTTTATGCTCAAGACAAAAGAATGACTTTATTTATCAATGTTACTTATGTGATTTAGATTTTCAGGAAGTTTGCTTCAAAATAGTTGTTACTATATAAACATTGCCCTTTTGTTTTACTTATTTACTATAGACGAAGAAAAGTTCATATGACTTGTCATAATAATAGTTGATGTTGGTGTTAGTTTAATTTTTATTATTTATTTAATAGCTATTTTTTATGAGATAAATATTCTCATTAATGAAAATATATATTTATATTTGGGTAGGTATTTGTATTTAAATTAAAGTATTATATATGTCACAAACGTATTATCAAGTTAACAAGATCTTCTAACTTCAAAAATATATTATTTTAAAATGTTCCGAGTAATTTTTTTTTAAAAATAACTCACAACAAATGTAAAAGTATGTGAATATGCATGAATCATGTAAAGTTTATCATTTACAAAATAATTTTTATATTCAGTTATATGGAATAAACATTTACATTTGGTCCCTTCACTAAATTAAAATCTAATAACTATAAAAAATATGTAAGTATAAAGTTTATTACAAATTCAACTACTGCACATTAATTCTTTAGTTATTACATTATAAATTCTCTTAGTTATTACCAATTACTGCAAACTGTATCCAAACTCTTTTACATTCTTAGTTATAATATTATGAATTCTATTAGTATTACATTAATTATTTCTATCTTTCACCTTTCCTTATATTAAATTTTGACCAATAATTTTTCATATTATTATACCGCCCCTATATATGTGATAACATAGTTTTGTTATTTTCCTTTGACAAATTATGCTTGGTTGAATAAATTGAAAAATCATTTACAAGCATATGAACTATATCTTTGTTTGGTGTAAGATGAACAAGTGATTATATATATGATTTCAAAGATAGAATATATTCTTTAATTTTAATTTTTAGTTTTTCCGGTTTAAAAAAAGAAAACCTTTCTGAGTTAACTATGGACAGTCAGATAACTATTTGTATATAAAATACAGATTTATATATAGAAAATAGTTCCAAAAGATAAAATGTGATTGTTCTCTCCACATATTCATATGACATCTAAATAGTTTACCGTGGAATACACATGCAAAGCACATCTGGTTATATTACAAGAAAATTACACAATAAATGTCGTTTATAAGGTAATTTTAGTGAGATACGACTAATTACATGATTGAACCTCATCAAATTGAAATAAATATATATA